TATTTATGTATTCTTTATGTATATATATATGTATGTATTCGTACAGATTATATATTGGCGGACCTGCACATATGTGTGATATTGGAGTATTCCATAAATGTGCATTTGCAATGCAGCTGTAAACTAAATCATGTTTCTGCGACCACTTTTTGTTATTGTTCATTGGTTCATATTTTAACAATATTTGTTATTTCACGATGTGTAGGTAATGGGCTGCATGTTAGGAAAGTGAAAACTACTTTCCATTCTGAATATCACGCGACTTTATAGAAGTATTCGCTTATTTTCCATTTTATATTTTACTGTGCGAATTTCCTGCCCTACGAAGTGGAAATGTTAAATTGACCACATACTCATATACATATAATTGTGTGATATGTACAAGGGGTAAGGTATTTTTTATACATACATATGCTTATTCCTGAGAAGGCATGCAATGTAAAGAAACTTTTTCTTATTTTCCAATTAATCACAATAATTTCTTAATTTTATATACAAGAGAGGTTTTGCAAAACAAATACTAAGCTCAATTGGTGTTCTATCAAACATCTAATCCAGTTGTCAACTCCACCCGAGCTACCCTTGCTTGATGCCTTTGTACTTTCACAGCTTTGAAATTTCCCGATAACTGTTGAGAAACGTTTTGTGTAATTTTAAGTGTGTCAAGTAATGCTCGTAATCCTGTGATATACAATTTAAAAGGTAAAGAATATTTATGCTTCCATGATGGGCGTGCAAACATAAAAATATGGAAACAAGTAAAAACTCATAATTTTTTTCTTTTTCAAAATTTATTATACATAAAATGTATTGCTTATGGTAATTTTTTATACCTTACGAGATTCTGTAACTTCTTTAAAGTATGTAACTATTGGTAGCTCTGCAATAAATGCGTTACTTGCCTTTGATAAATTACCTAATGAATTTGTGATATTATTTTTTGGAAATAACATTTTAACGCTACTGTTTGATATTCTCATTATAGCGGACTCCGGTGTGCTACTTGCCAAGGGTGTAGTCGGCTGCAATTGAAGGTTTATAACATTCCTTGTTGTATTCATTTGTACTATATTGGTTCTTTTATTGTGTCTCATTAGTTTTGATCTACTAAATGTATTTGGTTTTTTATTTCTTAGAAGTGAGACTTGGGTCGATGTAGTAAATGCCGTTGCTACTGTTGAACTAGTCGTTTTGTTATTATTTACGTTACCTGCGCTTTTCTCAAACGAAGGAGTCCATCGAAAGCGGCTTCTGCCATGAAATTTACTCTTTGGTTTTTTCATCTTTCTGCCAACAGTATCATGTAATAATTCCTGTTCTTTGGTTTGTGAAGTCGGGCTTATTTGTGAAGATGCATAATTCTCCTTTTCTCTGATTTTCGGTTTTAAAGGTCTTATGGGGGCCGGCAAAGCAGTTGTTATATTTCGATTTTTATTGTTCAAACTTTCTTTAAATACTAATCTCTTATTATTTTGAATAAATTTACCTCTTCTATATAACGGAGGATAATTGCTTGTTTTATCAAGAACTGATGTGTTCTCTCCGGAATACTTTGATGTTTCTATAGCATTCCAAATAGCGGTAGTTGAAGTATTTTCTAAATATGGTAATTCGGTAATAGGCGTAGAAATTGTTCCAAAAACCACTGTGGTTTTAATTGGATAAGATCCTAAAGTGTTTGCCGTAGTCTGTAGCGACATTTTCAAAATAAATTCTTTTAAGTTCGGTCTATCTCCAGATGCACATTGATTATTTGTTTCTAATAATGCTTTTGAACAGTTGTTTATTGATTGGCCGATAATCAAATTTTCTTTTGTAGTATCAACACTCGAATTCTCATA